AAGGCCCATGTAAACAAGGAAGGGGGAACGCGATCAGTGGAACTAATGAAGGAGGCATTAGCTCTGGCTCGGTGGGCAGAAACCAATATGAGTTCTATCAGAGCAGAACACATCTCAGGGGAGGCAAACACCCAGGCAGACTCCCTGAGCAGAGCCAAGGTGGATCAGTCGGAATGGCGCCTGGATCCGGCTCTGTTCGAGGAGATCTCCCGGAGATTCGGACAACCGCATCTGGACCTATTTGCCAATCACAAGAACACTCAACTCCCCAGGTTCTTCTCCAGATTCCCGTCTCCGGGGTCGGAGGGAACGGATGCCCTCAGGTGTCGGTGGCCGGCGCATCTCCTGTACGCCTTTCCACCGTTGCCCTTGATACCGGCGACCATATGCAAGCTGATCCTGGAAAGCGCAGAGATAGTCTGCGTTGCCCCGCATTGGCCACGGCGCCCGTGGTTTGCCGACCTCGTGGACCTTTCGATATCACCCCCGTGGAGGATTCCCCCGGACAGAGTAACACTCAGCCAGGGCAAGTTCGTACACCCAGACCCCCAGTGGCTACAACTAGCCGCCTGGCATTTGAGTGGCAAAGTTTAGCCAAGCAATCTTACTCGGCAGGGGTGATATCGATCATACAAGCTTCACGACGAGCGTCCACGAACAGGATTTACGATGCTACATGGAAAGGCTTTTGTAGGTGGTGCGTTTCTCTGCACCTAGATCCAGCTGCAGCATCTATCCCCAACATTCTAGATTATCTCCTGGAGGGTCTTAATAAGGGCCTATCAGTCAACACTATTCGCAGACAGATATCGGCTCTCTCAACTGTACTCTCCTGCGACAACTTAACATCTCTAGCGCAACATCCAGCGATTAGCGCCTTTTTAAAAGGGGCGACCAACACAAAGCCTCCAGCCATACACAGGTACCCGTCTTGGAACTTGCCTAAAGTCCTTCTAGCCTTGACATCAGCCCCCTTTGAGCCTCTTGAATCATGTTCTCTTCATCACCTATCGCTGAAGGTAGCCTTCCTTGTGGCAATTACTTCAGCAAGGAGAATTTCAGAACTAGCGGCACTGTCAGTAAGAAAGGATCTGTGTACCTTCTTCAAGGACAAGGTCGTTCTTAGGCCAGATCCGGCCTTCATTCCGAAAGTAAACAGCGTCTTTCACAGATCTCAGGAACTGACCCTTCCTGATTTCTGCCCAAAACCCAAACATAGGCTAGAGCATAGATGGCACAAGCTGGACGTGCGTAGAGCGCTGTGTTTCTACGTGAAACGCACTTCGGCCTTCCGCAAGACGGAAGCATTATTTGTTTCCTTTCAACCATCAACTATGGGAAAGAAGGTGTCTTCTTCCACCATAGGTAGGTGGATCAGGGCCTGCATAGCCCAAGCCTACGTTTCGCAGGGACTGCCAGTACCCGCACATATGACTGCGCATTCAACACGGAGCGCAGCCACATCTGCGGCATGGCTAACACAAGCGCCGGTGGAAGAAATTTGCAAGGCAGCAACTTGGTCTTCACCGTCCGTCTTCATTCGGCATTACCGTTTAGACTCCCTTGCCACAGCAGATGCTGCTTTTGGTAGAAGAGTGCTACAGCAAGTCGTGTCTGCTCAGAATTCGGTAGCCTAGACATTCCCTCCCAAGGGGACATGAGAGCTTTGGTAGGTCCCATCCATTGGACTCTACAGCCATCCTGCTGGAGAAGGGGCGTTGTCTTACCTGAATGCCTTTTCTCAGCAGGATGATGTAGAGTCCAAGCCCACCCAGGGGTTAGGTCTAGGCAGGTATATAAGAAAGAGCTGCAATATCAATTCCAACAAAGTTTCTCGCCTAAGTCAAAACTGGGGTCACGCCCAAAGGAAGGGGTGTGGCCAAAGTTTTTACCCAGTCTGCCGGGCAGGAAGGCTGTCATAGAACCCATCCATTGGACTCTACATCATCCTGCTGAGAAAAGGCGTTCAGGTAAGACAACGCCCCTTCTGATTACTTTCAAGATAGACCTGACATTTTATCTCCTACATCTTTTTGAAACAAAACTAGGATGTATCATTTCAGTTATAAAAATATTGCTTATCTCTACATTTGATTAAGCAAAAGTAAGTCTATATAACTGGGTAAGTCAAATCCTTTCCTTCTGTATAAAAAAAAAACTTTATTTCCATGAAAAAAAGTTCTTCACATTTCTAAATCTAATCCATTATTTGGGATACATGTTTAGCCAGTTATAAATTTCTTTCCAGCTGATTCATGGAGACAGCTCGGTTATTAGGCAGATTTACTTAAATCAGTAAACACTAGGGAAAAAGATAAATGGCAAGGCGTGGAAAGGGTTGTAAGCTAGGAAGTTTGCCTTGTAAATTTTAAACAAGGTCCTTACTCATGGGTATAACAGAATGTTATCCTGTCACCTGACTGGTCCTAATTATTCAAAGCATACATTATTCAAATGTATTTAAACTATGTGGCTATAAAGCATATTTTATTTACCAAAGCTATTACACAAGCTATTACACAAGAAGTTACTTTATAGCATTTTGATTCCAGAACTTTAAAGTGCAGTAATTCTTTTCATTTTATCAATTAATTAAAAGAAAGACCCCAAGCCCTTTAACTACCACTAGCAAAAGAAGAAACCAAGTCCTAACTAAATGTGGCATTGTGATATACATAACTATTGCATACGTCCTGGTTGTAGGTACTTGCTTAAATTAAGGAAACCCTATTAACCATGAGAGATTTCAACAGGATTTCTTTCTCACACTTCAAAGTCCTGTCTGGCTTTAGAATTTATTTTTTTCTCCTTTATTTTGCCTCTGAGATAACATGACTGGACGGAATGAGACAGCGATCAGTAAAAACATTTGGTTGATAATTAAATAACTGTTTAATTTATAGGTTTACCTGATTCTAGTATAGCCAATCAATATTCACCTATCTTGATAATATATTGCTCTCCAATAGAGGGTGGTATTCCCAAAGTCTGTTTCAACCTACAACCTCCTTCCTCTGAACTAAATGTACTATACTTTGAGTGGGAATTCCAATCATTGTGAAAACTTGCTAAAATAGACTATAAAATAGGCATTTCTATACAGAGCCCCAAATGAGAGCACAAAGTTAGTAATGGCACTATAAGATTTACAATACTTGCAAATTATTAAATAATTAATCAGTTCCTACCTAGGGCCCCAGGCCTGCACATAGGCTGTTTTTACTGTACTGCAACTTAACTAGGCTTAATGAAAGCCAATTAAAAGTGTTTGAAAAGCTTGGTCCTGCTTGCTTCTTCAGTCAATTTTGTATCAGTCCAAAATCTTAACTACCACCGAAGATTGCCTTAAAGGCAAAGAAGGCACATGAACTTGTAAAAGAATTATCTATCTATTCCCTTCCAATGGATAATAACATACCATGCAAATTTGCTGAGAAATTCCAGACTTCATAACTATTGCCTTCCTTATATACAGCACATGGACCAGATTGCAGCACATATGTGCATATTTTCTTGGAAATTAATGGAACTGACTTGTACTCATTTTCATTTCAGCAAAGCAAAATACAAGAAGTCCTCGACTTACAACATTTAGTTCATTTAGTGACCATTTGAAGTTACAACGGCACTGGAAAAATTAACTTACTACCATTTTTCACTTTTATCCATGGCAGCACCCCTATGGTCACGTGACTAATATTCAGCTGCTTGGCAACTGATTCATATTTATGATGGTTGCAATGTCCTGGGGACATGTGATCCTCTTTCGTAACCTTCTGACAAGCAACTGCAGTGATTCACTTAACAACTGTGGCAAGAAAGATCATGAAACGGGACAAAACTCACTTCACAAGTGTCTCAGGAACAGAAATTTTGGGCTCAGTTGTGGTCATTAGTTGAGGACTATTAGTACTAAAATAATCAGGAACGATTAACAAACTAGAGGAATTTTAACAAGTTTTTTTTAATGAAAAAAAAACCAGTGCAGAGTTTTGTGGTATATTTACAATCCAAAGAAAAAAAGATAAAAGATATTATGCCTGCATACATACAGAAACTTTGTTCAAAGAAACATAGTTTAATTCTCCAGTTGCTATAGAAGACCCGGGAGATTAACATAATAAATTGGAATTGATTTGTCATGAAGTTCTGGTTCATAAATCTCCAGGGAAATGGACAGTAGAACCACCCCAAAATGAATAAAGCAAGGTAGTCCCTGACTTACAATTCATTTAGTGACCATTCAAAGTTACAATGGTTGTGAAAAAGTCACATGACCATTTTTCCCACTTATAATCATTGCAGCACGCCCATGGTCACGTGAACAAGATTCAGACACTTGACAACTAGTTCATATTTATGATTGTTGCAGCATCCTGGGGGGGCACATGATCCCCTTTTGCCACCTTCTGACAAGCAAAGGCAATAGGGAAGCCCGAATCACTTAACCACAGTGTTATTAACAACTGCAGTGATTCACTTAACAACTGTAGCAAGAAAGATGATAAAATGGGACAAAAATTCACCGAACAGATGTTTCGCTTGGCAACAGAAATTTTGGGTTCAACGGAGGTCGCAAGTCGAGGACTACCTGAATCGGCTAGATCAGTGTTTCTCAACCTTGACAATTTTAAGGCATGTGGACTTCAACTCCTAGAATGTCCACATGTCTTAAAATTGTCAAGGTTGAGAAACACTGGGCTAGATTCAGGCAGGGCTGCTCAGCGAGGCGCCCGCTACAGTCTGGAGGGGGGAGGATGGCTCAATCCGCTCGTACCTTGCAGGAGCAACCTGGCCTTGTCCTCCACGGAAATGGAGGGCAAGGGAACCCACCTCCTCGTCAAGGCAGCAAAAGGTTTACAAAGAAAAAAGCGGGGAGAATTGAATGCCTGGTTGCGGGACCTGGATGGTTCCAGCTCGGAAGAACGAGGGAGCGAGCGAGGGCTCTCGCACTTCCTTTCTACCGCGGGCCTCCGCAGTTTCGCTCCTCCCGGGCGACCCAAGCGGCTCCGCCTCTCCGCCCGCCTCCTGCCCCCACGGAGGGCAAGAAATAGCCCGGGCCTTGGCCCGTGCTGGAGCTGCTTTAACCCTTCGGCCGTTCCTCCCCGGGCCAGGAAAGGAGGCCCGGTGGGGTGGCCGTTCCCTCTTGAGAGGCTGCAAGCGGCGGCTGGAGCGAGCTGAAGAGGGAGGCGGGAAGGCCGCTCGTCGTCCCTCTGCTTTGCCCAGCGCCCCTCCGGGTGGGCCGCCGCCATGAGATTGCTGCGGGCACTGCTGAGAAGCGTCTCCCCGGTGAACACCATCCCTCAGCAGGTGGATTTCTACTGCCGCTTCTCCCCGTCCCCGCTTTCCATGAAGCAGTTCCTCGATTTCGGTGAGTGGCGGCAGGGGTCTCTTCTCTCCCCCGGCCCGGGTTGCTCCTCCTCCTCCTCCTCCGCGCGGCTTCTTTCTCTGCAAGCCTCCCCCCTCGGCCCACCATTTTCTCTCTCCGGAGGGAGACCCGCCACCCCTCTGCGGGGGAAAGGCGCTTCTGTCTCCCCGGGCCTCGAAGGCGGCGAGCGGAGCGAGGCCTCGCGCGGAGGCTGCAGCCGAAGCCTACCCTTTGCGTTCCAGTCGCTGAGAAGTGTGCTCCCCCCCCTCGCCCTGTCGAGCCCTGCCTTTCTCCACCAAGAAAGGGGTATAGGCGCGCCCCTTACCCCCGAAATGCAACTCAAAGTTGGGCTTACAAAAGGCATTGTGCAATGGACGGTGTTGTCATGCAAAAAATCCTAGACTCGTGTGGGGTATCGTGTCATATGCTCCTGCCCAAATAGTTTTGGACCGTACCAAATTCCTGGTCATTGATTATGGTGGCCGGAGTTGAAACATTTGAAACATATGGACGTTTTGGCTATGCTAAGGTCACAGGTGAGTCCTTTTCAAGGGCGACTCCTTCGTTTAAAAGACCATCCCATTGGTCTTTACCAATTGTTATTTACTAATACTAGCACTTCATAGCTCTGTCCACAAACACAAAGACCCTTAATGATTATTTTTCTTTTTTAAAAAATAATTGTAGCTTCAGCAAAATGATAGCCCTACCATTATACCTATTACAGGTAGTCCTCGACTTACAACCACAATTGAGCTCCAATTGTCTGTTGCTAAGTGAAACATTTGTTACGTCAGTTTTGCCTCCCTTTACGACATTTCTTGTCATGGTTGTTAAATTGGTAACATGGTTATTAAGTAAACCTGGTTTCCCCATTGAATTTGCTTGCCAGAAGGTCTCAAAAGGTGATCATGTAACTCCGGGATATTGCAACTGGTTCATAAATATGAGTCAGTTGCCAAGCATCTGAATTTTGAGTACATGACCATGGGGATGCTGCAATGGTCATGTAAAAAATAGTCATAACACACTTTTCTCAGTGCCGTTGTAACTTTGAACAGTCACTGAGTGAACTGTTGTAAGTCAAGGATTATCTGTATTGCTTTCAGAAATTGTAATATTCTGCTGTATTAATATGCATACAGCAAACTGCCAGTACTGTGTAGTCCTTCTAAGATTACTCAGAATTTCTGTTCCATTTCACAATCCGAATTAATATAGGATTGTGTTTGGATATATTTTTTTTCCTGCAGTGTCTCAAAACTACAGCTGCCACTTCAGTAAGTTTGTTTGAGGTGACAGAACTGATAAGTTATAGTCTAGGAATGTAACTCTTATGCAGTATTGCATGAGAAAAATTGGAGAACCCCTTAGAGCAGGAGTGTCAAACTCTCAAGGTCACGTGATGTGTCGGGACGTATCACGACTTTTTTTCCATTGCCAGCAGTGGGGTGGGCGCGGTTTTGGCATGACGCATCCGGCCCATGGGCTGGCAGTTTGACACCCCTGCCTTAGAGGGGGAAAAAAAATCACACTGTAATTCTTTTGGTTCTACTGAATGTGAATTATGCAACATGACTAGAATTTCTACTGAACTTTAGTAAAAATATCCAGTTGGATATTGCCCTGATAACTATAAATACTGTTATTTGGCCTTAGATGTTTTAATACAGAATGGTATTAGTAATCAAAGCAATCAGATACCCACACCAATGTATCCTGCATATATTTTACATTGAGTAATAATAAAGTACAGGGTCGAGAGGAACTTCAGTTTATATTATTACATTGAAAATTCTGTTGTTTGTAGATTATGTCTCATTGTCTCCTATTCTTAAATGTAGGAGTAGCTGATGAGTAGCATTATCTCCTGTATCTTCCTTTAAGGATATCATCTTTAGGAGTGGTGCCTTCTGAGATGGCTTTTGAAGGCAGATATCGCTATTGCCTCATCACCTTTACAACACTGAAGAGCCCCTCTTGATATGATGAATGCAGAACATTTAACAGGAATAATGGTTGTGCCCTGAACCAGATTCTCTGGTTGGGAGGGCAGAAAGCAGATCCTGGGCCAGTTCACCAACACATCCCAGTTTGTAGTCCAAAAATGCTGCTTTGTTCCACCTAATGATAGGGTTGTTCCTGTCATTCATGCTCCATCAGAGATTATATTTTAAAATCTTCTTAACATAGTCCACAACATTTTTTTCTCTCAAGTAGCCCCTGAAATGGTATTCCTTTCGAATTATCTGTAGACTTTGCCACAAAGCTATATACTCAACTGAAGAATTCTGATATGCTTTGATTATCTCTTTCCCCACATCTGTATCAAGCCATTGTTTTCTTCAGAAATGGCTGTGCTCTTCAACACAGGTAGTACTCAACTTACGACTACAATTGAGCCCAAAATTTCTATTGCTAAGACAGTTTTTAAGTGAATTTTGCCCTGTTTTATGACCTTTCTTGCCACAGTTGTTAAGTGAATCACTGCAGTTGTTAAGTTAGCAACATGGTTGTTAATTGGCTTCCCCATTGACTTTGCTTGTCAGAAGGTCACAAAAGGTGATCCCATGACCCCAGGACACTGCAACCGTCATAAATATGAGTCAGTTGCCAAGCATCTGAATTTTGAATATATGACTAGGGGGACGCTGCTACTGTCGTAAGTGTGAAAAACATCATGTTGCTTTTTTCAGTGCCATTGTAACTTTGAACAGTCACTAAATGAGCTGTTGTAAGTCGAGGACTTCCTGTAATGGAGAAAAAGAAATTATTTTTGTAATATCTTTCACTGCTCCATAGTTTCTTCAAAAAAGAATAGATTAAAACAGTGGTTCTCAACCTTTCTAATGCCGTGACCCCATAATACAGTTCCCCATGTTGTGGTGACCCCCCAAGTGGGTGTGGCCACCAATAAGAGGAAGTAGGACAGCTAGGGAAAAGGGAAAAAAATGGCGGACAGCGTGGTTTGGCGACCCCCGTGAAATGGTCGTTCGACCCCAAATGGGGTCCCGACCCACAAGTTGAGAACCATTGGTTTAAAATAACTAAAAAGCCGCAATCAATATAAAATGTTATGCATCTTGAGCTTTAATATCATGAATGTTAAGAATCCAGTGTGGTCTTCATGGGAGACCAAGCCACATTAGTCTAACTACTAGTACAATTCTGAACATCAGATTACTACTTTCTGAATTTATGTAAACCTGTATTTACTGTAACGATAAAATATCATCCAGGATTTCATAGAGAAGCTGTTATTATTTACCACCCTATGATCCTGAATAGAACTGCCTAATGAATTGTTTATAATCTATTCACTGTGGTTTCAAAATTGTTTCCTTACAATGTTTTCCCCATAGGATCTGACAATGCTTGTGAGAAAACCTCTTTTATGTTTCTGCGACAAGAGTTGCCTGTAAGATTGGCAAACATAATGAAAGAAATAAGTCTGCTTCCAGACAATCTACTTAAAACACCTTCAGTTCAGCTTGTTCAGAGTTGGTAAGAACCTGTTTCTTTTTTAAAGAAAGCCTCATGAAACCAAATTTGAACATTTTACAAAGATATGTGAAGATGCAGAATATTAGAAGCTGAGTCTTACGGCTATAAGGCGCCTAATAGCATCCGTGCACTGATTTAGCACAGTGAGTAGACATCTGGTTTATATTTTCTCCCTCGCCACCTACATAGCTCTGTGCCAGAGGCAGGAGATATCAACACTGGTCATGAACCCACAGCCCAGACTCCTAACATATCATCTGTCAACCATCATCATTTACTTGAAGCAATCCCAAGGGCAAACATCTTGCCCACATATACAACATCATCTTGTGGTTTCTGAGCCTGACTTCAATTAATATTAATATTTACAAACCGAGACCTAGGCATCAAAGCATGATGCGAATGAAAAATCCTCCTAGTTGAAGAGAGAACATACAGACCCTTGTCTCATTCTGTTTTTGTTTTTTCTCCTCAAGCATATTGTCTAAATTGGCAGTAGCAATAATGTTACCTAGTGATGTTCTATCCTTTTCAAATTGTTCAACAAGTCAGATTTGGCCCATTTGAATTAATTATACCATCTGGTTGTTCTCTGTACCCAATTATCTTACAGAGTGCTGCATGAATGTAAACCGTTAATTTAGTAAAGCTTATTTCCAAGTGAATGGACATGGCATTGCAACATTTAAAATTGATTTTGAATCGTTCTTAGAACGAAGGCCTCTGTTGTAGGAGGGAAACAGATTTACACGATGAGAAAGTAAGGGTTTGCAAAAGGAAGGGGAAACCTGGAAAAATACTCCCCTTTCCTCTTGAAGGAGTTTCTGATGTATTGGAGGCCCTTTTGTTGTGAGGAAAAAAATCTTCACTAGTGGGTGGCTAAAACATAGAACAGTAAAGCTAGGGAGTGTTTTACTTTTCAAAATCCATGTGCTGCTACTACTATTAACTACTACCACAACTGCTTCTTGGTTGAGGTAAGATATAATGGGCATTCAGACACACTTGTAGAAATGGATAGAACTTATTATCTTATATAGGAAGACTATTAAAATTTTAAAACTTATTTAAAAAATTAGAATGTGCTGAAATTTGGAAATAATTATAAAAATACTACTTTGGCAAATTCATATTCTTTTCATTATTAGGGAGAGGAAATTGTTTATTTCTCTTTACGACAAAGATCAAACATACAGAAATTGTGTTTTTAGGTATGTGCAAAGTCTGCAGGAGATCCTTGATTTTAAAGACAAAAACGCTGATGATACAGAAGCTGTTTCACGGTGAGGCATTTTGGCCTTCTCAAGGACAGTAATTATCTTACATTTTTTACATCAGTCTTGTAGCATGAGACATCCAGTGCCATATATTATATTTGTTTTATTATATAGATCTCAAGAAACAGTATGGGATATTAAGTATAAAGAAAAATCTATTTTAAACGATTTATTCTTTGTAAGTTATCAGGGTGGTCTAAAAATAATAAACTCACAAAATAAATTCCACTCTATGTAATTCATTTAGAATTACTTCTGTATTAAAATTAGCAAGGTTTGACCTACATGTACAATCAATGTTTTTTAATTCAATTGATTTAGTAATCTGTTAATTTTCTTTAAAGGTTATTAATAATGAAATGATATAGTCTTATTTTGTGTTCACTCATTGAAATTTGCTTAGAATTTGAGTAACTTAATTTTAATGGCTCTGTTTCAAATTTCAGTAGTTCAGATGCCATTGTTCTATCCAAAACCCATATGTCAGTCACAGGCATTCATCCTTAAGAAATAATCTTAGTGAGACTTAGGTGGTAATAGTTACTTCTATTGTCATGTATCTCTAGCATGCTATCTATGAAGAGATTAAATTATGCTTTTCCGAGGAAAAGGCCCTCCTTAGGGTATATAATCTCTCAGAGATGAGATAGATTATGAGAAAAGTTTATCTGTTAGAATTTGCTGAGTTGAAAAATTCTGATTGTATTTTGTGTTAAAAGAATTGTGAGATGGACTTTGGAGGAAGAAATAGTGGCCTAAAGACAGCTCTGCGAAAAGCGCAGCCAACAACTATAGCAAAGAATGTAGCTTGGCTCTTTGAACCTCTCTGGAAAAAGAAGATAGGAGATCACCCACAAGTACTCCAGACAGTTGATCCTTGTGAGGAGTGCTTTGAGCACTGTGGGATGAGGAAATAGCCATGTTTCTCAAACCAGAGTTAATGTCTTTAAAAGGACATTAAGTCTGCATACTTCCTTTACTAATCCTATTCCAAAGGTGCTTATTAAGTACTTTGCACATACTGTATTAGAAACTATCGGGTCAACAAGTCTGAAAATACTGGGTGACTGCCTTCAGCCCTTTTTGAAAGAATTTTTAACTCTAACTGGCTAAGAAGTTTAATTTTGTTAAGATTAAGAACTTAAAATAATTAAAATATGCAGCAAAAAGCTAATTAAGATTTTGATTTTAGAAAATTATAAATGGATTGGGAGTTCAGATAAATTTGAAGTAAGATTTGGAATTAATTATAAAGAATCCTTCCCATGAGAAAGTCAACTTGTTTTGAATTTTGTCTACATGAAAGGGGGAGGGGGAATAAAATTGGACTCTAGAGAGGACTAAAGATTTTAATTAAGGGAGAATAATATATTTGTTTAACAGCTATAATATGGGAAATAATGAAAGATACTTTTGAAAAAACAAAAACAAAAGTAAATATCAACAAATAGTGATATTTGCTTCTAGATTATATCCGAAAGATGTTTTGAAAGAAATGATAGAACAGGAAGAAGTTTTGTTTGACAAAGTGAAAGTGGACTTTTGCTTTCTGTTAGCTTTCGAATTCCCGCTGACAGATATCAGTGACCCACTATCATTTCTCCAAACCTAGGGAAGATATTTATAGGGACTACTGAGAGAAGAAATTGATTGTTGGAAACATCCTCTGAGCTGAACTCTATGCACTCAACCTCAGCCATTATTTCTTAAATATCTAAGCCAAAGCAGGACATAACATAAATACAGATGATAGACTCAACTTAAAAATAATTGTGACTATGCTATTAGAATACCTTGTATTTAGAAGTCCAAAATCCATTTTAAAAGATTGCTTTCTCGTCCTGTTTTAAACACAACACAGTTTTTGTTGACTAGTGGGATGCTTTCTTTACTTTCTTCCTTTTGCAGTAGTTAAAATTTTAGTGACGGGTGTATTAGTATTTTAATACAAATATACCATACTTGATTTCAGTTTTAAAGATACTGTGATAACAATCCGGAACCGTCACAACGATGTCATTCCTACCATGGCTCAAGGCGTGATTGAGTACAAGGATAACTATGGGGTTGACCCAGTGACAAGTCAGAATGTGCAGTATTTTTTAGACCGCTTCTTCATGAGTCGGATTTCAATCCGAATGTTGCTTAATCAGCACAGTAAGTACTTTTATTAATTTAATTTTTTTTTTGAATGGAGTAGGGTAAGAAAACTTTTAGAAGTGAAGGATTTCAATTAGACTTTGGTGAGCCAAAACTCACAGTGGGCATAATGGTGGTATTGAGACTGCAAAGCCATTTCATGCATGCAAGCAGAGCTGGGGTTTTCTATTTTTGCTTCTTAAGGCTTTGAGGGGAAGTTAAACTATAGTTTTTTCTGTGACTCAAAATGGCAGGAAACAGTCATTTGTTCTTCCAGGTCAGAGAGGGGAATCTGGAGGCAATAAAGTAGGCCACAGGATGCCAATCACTAATGTAAAACAAGTGCAAATAGTTTCCTTTAAGAATAACAAGGGATCTTCTATACAGCTTAGTATCATCCTTGTTATGAAGTAGTAAATCCTTGTCCATTGTTTTTGTTCAGTCATTATCATCTCCCTACCTATAAAATATGCTGTTTGTGGCTTCTTTGTTGGGAAATCATTTATGTACTTTGTTTTTGTTGTTGGCAGCGTTGTTGTTTGGAGGAAACGTTGAAGTTAACCCAGCACATCCCAAACACATTGGAAGTATTGACCCTAAATGCAATGTTGCTGAAGTTATAAAAGGTACATTCAGACAGACATGGTGAGAAAAATAAATATGGCAAGAAAACAGTCTTTCTGGGCTATTGACTTTGTACAAGCTCATTCTGTCAGGCATGGAAAATTTCTATTCTGCTGAGACACAGTGTTTATCCTTGAGATGTCATTGTGTAGGTAAAAAAATAAATACAATTTTATTCAGATTTTGTAGTAATGACCTAGTATTTGGGAGACTTTTATATAGTGTTCCTATTACCATTCATTTAATGTAATATATTATTTAATAATGTAATTTTTATTCTAAGTTGCATTTTGAAAATCAAGACAGGTGTCATGCCATACCATTAAAAGCTAGCAAGCCCAGTGAAAAAGACTTCTGAGCAAACATGCGTAAGATCATGCAATTATTGGGCTATATTTAAGGGTGGAGCCATTTAGATTTCCTCAAATCGCTAGCCTTTCAAAAAGAAGGATTAGTCTAAAATGCCTGATAGAGGAAGGACAGTGTGCAGCGTGGGAATTCCCAACAGTATGGAGATGGAAAATTCCCTCCTCTTATAATACAATTGATTTTGATCCTAGGTGCAAAACCAGAGATAGTGCATTCAATCCCTCCTCCATCATCTTGCTAAATCCCTGTAGCTGCACATCCTATATTTATAGAATTCAAGAGTACAGAGAGCCTCTCTCTGAGGGAGATGGGTGGGTAAAAAATGTGATGAATGAATGGATAGATAAATGTAAAAAATGCTGCTTTTTGTATAATTTTGCTTGTTTGAATTGATTGGATTGAAGGAGACCTGAGTAAGAAGTAATCATTTTTGTCAGCGAAGTCCCATCTTTCAACTACTGGAAAGCTTTGCCATCTGAGATTTGTACTGGACATCTTCCACCTGTTTTAAGATATTAATTTAGGCTATGCGGGATAGATAAATGCTCTTCTATTCGTGCAGAGAATCCAAACATAGACATAGTTCTTGTTAAAGTAGTAATTGAAGTTAGCCAGAAGTATGCAAGAGAAATGTCAGCTGCTATTCATAGAATGCAATAGTAAAAGTTGGAATGTGAATGACTGTTTCTTCTCAGAACTCTGTTTTAAGAATTGCTGCCAGCTAATTGAATAAACTCTGGATAGGTGAAGTCTCTCTCTCTCTCTCTTTCTGTGTTTGTGTCTTTGTGTGCATCTTTTAAGCAAAATTGTATTGCTGTTTTCAGATGGTTATGAAAATGCAAAGAGCCTCTGTGACTTGTATTACATGAGTTGTCCAGAACTTATTCTTGAAGAGAAAAATGGTAAGTATGGAAGGGGGGAGGATTGGCTTATTCATGGAAATTGCCTGTTCCTAACCAATTCCTATCAAGTTTTACCATATCCCTCTACTTTGCCGTGGACGTACTTTAAATATTTCTGTAACAGTTTTTTAATTGGTTATAGAACTAGCCTGCTTATGCTGCAAAATACTCTATTTGGTGCCTTGACTCTATGTCATGAAAAATGCTAGAATCTTTTGATAGAGAGATGGGCAATATTTAGCATATGTTCAGAGTACATCCTATAACAATAAATATTTGCACATACTCATTTCACTGCAGAAATTTGTTTTAGAAAGCCAAGTGCAATTATCAGTGTCACGTCTTCAAATATGCCTATAGGTTATGGCTGGAATTCAGTATACACTAATATGCTGACTAAAAATGCAGGGTAGGTACATTTATCTGGAATTTGGGAAGTAGCCTTCAGTATCAATCAAGTCTCTTTAAAGTATCTTTAATTACATGAGTCTCTCTAATTACATGATATATTCTGTCATACGTTACCTCAAATGGTGCACTAATGCCAAGAAGTCTTTCATTTGCTTTTATTCTTTAGTTTTTTGACATTTTATTTTTTTTGAGTTTCAAGTTTTTTATTGATTTTACAATATTACATTTACATATTTGAAAAGTAGCATGGCAGCTGAGCACAGTAATTCTGTTACATTGAATATCATCAGTACAAATCTCAAATTATTACAACAAACTAATTCCCTCTCTTTCCCCCATGATATCTACTGTCATGTTCAAACCAATACAGTTCTTGTTCTGTTAATCAAACAAAAAACACCTTTCTAATATTCATCAATAATCTTCAGTCTATACGTATCTTAATTAATTTGATATTCCACATTTTAGACAATAACCTAGTAAGTTTTTCTTTAATTTAATTTCCTGTTGATCTTTAAGTTTAACATTTAATCTTTATCATTTCCAGGTTTTAAATGATCCCAATTTCTAAGTCTCCTATCTCACATTTAGAGCTAATATTTGTTTTTCTTTTCTTCCTTCTACTTCCTTCCTTTCTTCCTTTCCAGAAAGAGAAAAAAAAATAAAAATAAACCACCAACATTTATACCACAAACCCATATACAAATTTAATTATTAGTACTTATACTTTTAAGTTTTACTTAACCTTTGTCTCAACTCCTAACAATATCTTAAATTCAAATCTTAATTATTTGTAGACATTCAGATTACATTTAATATTTAATTTTTCCAAATTTTTAATTAAACACAATTCCTTTATCCCAATTTGCTCATACATTCTAATATTTTAAATACACACCTTATATATAAATTCTACCATCTATCTTACCCATCTAATGACAATATAATATTCTTATTTCAATATATTTCTAGATTTTATATGAACAAAATTTTCTTTATCTCAAATCGTTACAATGTCTTATGTTCAGAATACATATTCTATCTATTTAGATATATTCTATTTTAGATCTCATATATAGATCAGAACCCCAATCTTTTTCAATCTTATTCTATCTTTTTTCCTCTGCCAGGTCATTTTTCATATTTTTGCCTTTAAATCATCAAAAAAATCTCCTTGTATTGTTGTGGCTATTGTTTGATAGTTTTAACACTACATTTTAGCATTCTATATGTATGTGTGTGTGTGCGCACGTGCACACGGGCACACACACAGGCACAAGTATCTCATAATCTGTTATACCTTGAAGAATGATCAAATACTGATGGCTAGACACAATCACATTAAGAATGTACATTCTGCTTCAGTCATTGAGTCTAAAATCAATATAAGGAGAATGGGAAATTTTGCTCTGACCTGTGATGCCTTCATGAGTGTGCTAAATTGACATTCTTTTTTAAAATGTACTTTAAATATCTGCTGTTGAGAACAGAAATTTTCTCAAACGTAGGTTTCGAATAAATTTTCTTAACAATACTTAATACTATGTATGTATGTATGTATGTATGTATGTATGTATGTATATATGTATATGTTCTTACTTATGACTCAGTTTTGAAGCTCTGGCAGCTCCCCCCCCCGTGTCTTGACCACATTTATGGCCATTTGCAGCATCCTGCAGTCACATTACTGTGATTTTTGCCATTTTTTTCTAAAAAAAACCAGCATTTTAGTTCCAGTTTCTGGCAAAAAAACCTGGAACTATTGGGTATAATGGATTTGTTTAATGACCATGGCATTCGCTTAACAACTATGGTGTTTGTTTAATACTACCCCAAAAGTCATAAAAACAGGCATAGTTACGTGACCTGCTTAACCTCCATAATTTCCAACCATAATTCCAGACTCAATTACAGTCGTAAGTAGAGGATTACAGCTATATGCATGTATAGACTTAGACTTAGTCTATTGACTAAGACTGTAGACTAAAAGTATAGACATTTATAGATTTACAGTAAAATGTATTGGGATCCCAATAAACATGAGAGTAATTCCACTTAGCCATTTGACTTTTATCCTCTTTTATCTCCCAAATAACAGACTTCCATAACTGCAAGAAAGGCTGCTCTTAAGAGAATTTCAAATTGAGTTTGCAGTGTTCTATGAGTAAGAGTAGCAATTGGGAGGAGAAGGGGGGGCTCCATAACTCTACAGGCTCATGTGAGCCCTTAGGCAGGACCAAAGTAACTGAATCTTAGTAATCTTTCAGCTACATTGTTGACACATGAGGATAACAGTGACCGTGGGTGTACAATTGATCCTTTTCATTCATCTTGTTTTGCAGTAAAATCACCAGGGCAGCCCATGCAAGTGGTATATGTGCCATCACATCTCTACTACATGGTTTTTGAACTTTTCAAGGTTTGTACTGATCTCTTCTACGTACTCTTTTCCTGTTTCCCTTAGCCAGATTACCCAAACATAATAATCTCTCCCTCTTGATCTGTTAAGAACTCTGTGTGTGTGTGTGTGTGTGTGTGTGTGTATGTGTGTAGGGGGTGGGGGGTAGGGGGGAGCTTTTAAGGGAAGTGACTATAAATTCTATTCAGCACATGATCTGTGCATTCATAGAAGATTTATTTAGGTGCTCTGCTGAACTTTCTGTCTGATTCTCCTTCAGGAGCATTGCCAGTCTGCTGGCTGTTTCTGTAAATGTGACACACTTTACCTGCACTTTAGAGCCAGGTGTGTCTCTCCACACCCTTAACAGCTCTCTTATGAGACAGCCTGTGTGTTTGGGAACTTTCAGGAGAGCAGGTAAATGGATAATCCTACATCAGGATAGGAGGGCCACACTATTATGGGAAGCCAGAATTCCTACATTGCCAAAACAGTTGCTTCTCTCACATTTTGAACATGAGTCGAATACATTTGTAGAAAATACTTCTTTTACTTACTAAGCAAAAATGTGTATAAATGGACTGTAAATTTATTTATTTATTTGAAAAATTAGAATGCAATGAGGGCTACCATGGAACATCATGCAGATCGGGGAATTTATCCTCCAGTTCACGTCCAAGTCGCTTTAGGCACTGAAGATTTAACTGTGAAGGTAAAGTCTTTATTTATAGTCTTACATTTTCTGTTCGCTAAGTCTGGCAAATGACTAGCAAAGCAATTTGCGGGGATCAGAGCCACGACTTCCTTTTTTTTTTATAGGGCTTATTCTCTGATTCTGATCCAATGACTCTGAATAATGTTAACTTCTAGTATTTTTAGCTGCCTACAGGTAGTCCTTGACTTATAACACTTCATTTTGTGACCTTTCAAGTTAACAGTGGCACTTAAAAAAACTGACTTGTGACCATTTTTCACATTTACAATTGTTGCAGCCTCCTCGTGGTCATGTTGTCAAGAGTTCAAGTGCTTGGCAACTGGCATGTATTTATACAGTTGCATTCTCCCATCCCAGGATCATGGGATCACCATTTGTAATCTTCCAAGCCGGCTTCCAACAAGCAAAGTCAATGGGGGAAGCCAGAGTCATTTGTTACTCAATTAACAACTGCAGCGATTCACTTAACAACAAGAAAGGATGGTAAAATTGGAGCAAAATTCACTTAACAACTGTCTGGCTAAGCAACAGGAATTTTGGGGCTCAGTTGTGGTTGTAAGTTGAGGACTACCTGTATTCGTTTTTTATATACTTTATAAGGATGTTTTATTGTTTGTGTTTTATTGTACTTCTTGTAAACTGCCCAGAAGTGCAAGAATAGGTGACATTCAAATAATCCGAGAGTGAAAGAGAAGGGTGGGTGGGTGGGTGGGTGGGTGGGAAGGGATCCTAGATTTAGCATTGCCTCTACATCAGGGGTAGTCAACCTTGGCTCTTTTATGACTCGTGGACTTCGACTCCCAGAATTACTGAGCCAGCTGTGCTGGCTCAGGAATTCTGGGAGTCGAAGTCTACGAGTCATAAAAGAGCCAAGGTTGACTATCCCTACTCTACATATTCAGATGGAAGCTATGAACAGAAAAGTCTTTCACCAGCTGCACCTTTTTTGCAATAGGACTAACCTGGTCACAGTCGTGGCTGCTTTATTTGCATCATGCTCTTAATGAGCTTTTGTTGTATTTTCGAACAAAAACTTTTTAAGCTTCGGTTCATTTACTTTGCATCATATTATTGAATATTAGAATAAAGCATAATTTAATAACCTTTTGGACTGTCTATGCAGACTACTGTTGGAGTCAGCGAGAAGAGTGTGTTGGCCTGTTTACCTAGATCAGGGACTGGTTGTATGATTGCAGTTTGTGTGTTGCTGTTTCTAGCACAGTGGTTCTCAACCTGTGGGTCGGGACCCCATTTGGGGTCGAATGACCATTTCATGGGGGTCGCCAAACCATGCTGTCCGCCATTTTTTTCCCTTTTCCCTAGCTGTCCTACTCCCTCTTATTGCTGGCCACACCCACTTGGGGGTCACCACAACATAGGGAACTATATTATGGGGTCACGGCATTAGGAAGGTTGAGAATCACTGTTCTAGAATATATTCTTAATAATGTTACCCATTGTATGTATATATAGACACACACCAAACATGCATACAGGAGCTCAATACTGTACAGTATTTTTCTCCCTCCCCCCCCAATTTAGATGTGTGACCGTGGTGGTGGTGTTCCTTTGAGAAAAATAGACCGACTGTTTAACTATATGTATTCAACTGCACCGCGTCCCCATGTTGAGACGTCACGAGCAACACCTCTGGTTTGTAGCCTGTATAATATTTTACGTTCTCAGTTGTGAGATGAAAAACTCAAGTTCTTCTTATTTTTCCAGTAGCTTTTTTTAAACATGCGATTGAAAAGCTTTGATCATAACATATGATTCAAGCATAATGAATGAACAAATTCTGGGACATTCTATATATAGAAATAATTTTTTCACCACCCCTTCTTAACCCCCATGAATAGTTTGAAGGTGGTCCATGATTGCATTTGCTTTTGCTCAACTCAGAAAGGTTGGGAACAAAGATAAAGTATGGTCTTGCCGTACATTGTTGTAGGTCCTAAGCAATAAAAATCTCACCCATGCCAATGCCATCTTAAAGTGGGGGGGGGGAGTGAGACATTGTCAGTAGCTTAGCAGTTTGGATCTTGGCTGGTTTCCTACTGAGAGAGGAGAGACTAAGAAGCACTTGTCAGTCTTATCCTTGCTGAATTTGTCTAGGCTATAGAGCAGTGCTTCTCAACCGTGACAATTTTAAGGCATGTGGACTTCAACTCCCAGAATTCCACCACTAGCAATGCTGGCTGTGGAATTCTGGGAGTTGGAGTCCACATGCCTTAAAATTGTCACGGTTGAGAAACACTGCTATAGAGAGACCTGGGTAGCCATTAAGGCTGGTATTATCCTTGTAGCCCCTGAAGTTTAGGAGCTTGGAGGAGAGATGAGGTAAGAGTTTTCTCTAGCAGGGAAATGGAGCTGAAGCAGGGGTGTCAAACTCACCACGTCACGTGACGTGTTGTGACGTATCGCGAGTCTTTTTGCATTGCCGGCAATGGGGTGGGCGTGGTTTCGGTATGATGAAACCCGGCCTGCGGGCCAGCAGTTTTGACACCCCTGAGCTGAAGCATCTGCAGATGAACAAAACACTAGGTCAGCGGTAGTTTTAACGACTGGAAATAAATAAGTTCAACTGCTAGTATTGTTGAAACCCCTGAGCCCTGGAGCTACTTTGAAACTGGTGCTGAATTCTAGAGTAAAAACCTGTCCTGTGGGGGTTTAGAGGCAAAAAAGAAAAAAGAATTCCAGGAGAAAAATAGAACTTTAATCATGAGCTCAGGAAGATTCTGTTTTGGGGAACTTAAACATCACGTAACTTACTTACCTAATATATTTGTCTGCTGCTTTCCAGTATAAATCCCAAAGTGATTGACAATAATTTAAACTACAAATATTAACAATAGCTTTAAAACAGTGTAACGTAGTATCAGTTTTAGAAATAAAAGAAAAAAGAACCAAAGCAAAATGATATATTCAAAGCATTCATACAAAGACAGATTGGTTATTGGTCTTTACAGGCACTCGCTAGATTTCAGTATAGTTGCCTATGAATTTCAGCATTTCAGAATGAAGGTGCCTGTGCATGAAGATGGCCTGCCTCCAGGAGGACATTTTGGGAAATACTTTGAGTCTGATTCAGTTGGCAGTTAGTGTAATTGCTTCAGTAGCAGAATAATGTACACAGTTGGTTAATCATTTAGCAACCTGGCTGTTGCATTCTGCACTAGCTGCAGCTTCTGAAAATGAATGCCCTACAGTGGTCAGAACACAAAACTATCAGTGCATAATCCACTGTAATCCCATTATATTTAATAAAGAAAGGACATAATCTGTCATTTGAATCTGGTAAAGCAAACACCTTTAGTAATGGAAATCACTTGGGTCTCTAGGACCTGTTCATTCCGAGGAAGCTCAGCTCCATTCAGAGCAGGTAAATTCTCCAATTTCCAAATCCACCATTTAGCAATCCACATTGCCTATGTTTTGTCAGGTTTCATGGGCATTTATCCAAATTTTAATCTAATCCTAATCTAATCCTAATTTAATTTAATTTAATTTAATTTATCACTTAATTTAATTTATCATTTAATTCTTTTTTCATCCTAGACTTTTCCTACAAGTACAGGGTTTGCCTTTTTTGAATCAACTAAGCATTGATCCATTGGTTGTGACATAAATTGGCAGCTGGCTTGTCAACTCAGCCTGTTGTCACGGGCTGAGAGAATGGCTTCCATATCTAATGTGGGACTAGAACTCATAGTCTCCTGGTTTCTAATCTGGTGCCTTAACTACTAGACCAAAATGATTTTATTTCTCATCTAAATACTGATTTGATACACAGCTTTTTGTGATTTACAACTCCTAATAACTACACCTGTGGTTTCACAGAGTGTCCTCAAGGCACCATTGGCATAGTTGCTACAATATAGAGACATAGCCATCTGATGCTGTTCTTTGACATTGTCCTACAAGTAAGATTAGAATTAATGGAACTCAGTGTCTCCAGTCCAAGAAATAATTCAAGACCAAACAAAAATCAATGATAATCAAAAGTACCCAAGGGATCAAACATGATCAACAAGTCAGAATCTGTCTTTTCTCTTGTAAGCAATTATCTAGGCCAGGGATAGGCAACCTTGGCTCTTTTATGACTCGTGGACTTCAACTCTCAGAATTCCTCAGCCAGCCATGCTGAGGGGAAAGGGAGAGTTTCCAAGCTGAGCCATGCTGGCTCAGGAATTCTGGGAATTGAAGTCCACGAGTCATAAAAGAGCCAAGGTTGCCTAATCCTGATCTAGGCAATCAAGGCTGAATTTAACTCAAAACCAGGCCTGAACCAACCATGAAAAAGTTCAAGATAGTTGCTGCCTTCCAACTTGTTTGACATTGTGGGCAAATGTAATTTCTCTTTCCTCAATCTATATTCAAAAGTTTGGGTTAACTGTTCAAAATCATACTAATTTTTAACTTACTCCTGACCAAGATGGCTCATTTTGACTAATAAACCAGTTAACTAAGTGATCTAGTTGTGTAGGACATATACGTGTTTGAGAATGGAGCTCAGGGATCACTTTTTTGATTATAAAACTATTTTATGATGGTTTGTTGTATGTCAAAAAAGGCACAATGACATTTTTCTAAGTAGAGCTGGGCTCCAACATTAGCACTCTTCACTTTAATATTAGCACTTAACATATCTTTAAATAGGTATGATGTTTTTAAAGACTTACCAAGAGATCCAAGTGAGAGTCCCTATATACACTGAAGCACCCCTCCCAAATTGGAAGCATTGCCTGAGAGGAACATTGAGGCTCTTCCAGTGGACCATGCCTTGACACTTGCCCTGGTCCAACCCCCTTCTGCCAGAGACCCTCAGATCTGTCCCATTCCTGCCCAGGCCCCCACAGGCACCCTTGACGCGAATGATGTAGAGCTGGCCACGCCCATCCAGTAGACCACACCCACCCAGCCCCCTGAGGGCAACCACAATGCTGATGTGGCCCTCAGTGAAATTGAGTTTGACACCCCTGCTGTAGGGCAAGCATTTCAGGAATTATGGAGAAGAGAGAGAGTTGTGCAAAAATTCCTTGGCATCCATGGGAAAAAAGAGAATATTATGTCTTCATGTTGGATTGTACCTTCATGTTCTTTTTTGTGGTTAAAAATAATGTTTTAGTCTCTTCATCTGTCCTTTAAGCATTAGACCTGCTTCAGATGTTTCAAATTTTCAGTTGCTTTTGTTTTTGGCTTAGGCTGGATTTGGTTATGGTTTGCCGATATCGCGCCTGTATGCTCAGTACTTCCAAGGAGATCTGAAGCTCTATTCTCTAGAGGGTTATGGCACAGATGCTGTTATCTTTATAAAGGTATGTCAGGGACCAGTTGTGGTGGCAAATTCCTTTCTGCTTAAAATATAAAACTTGTTCATAGCAAGTGATTAACTCAGTCCTCCTTTCTTTTGCTGCAGGCTTTATCAACTGAGTCTGTTGAAAAATTGCCCGTGTATAACAAATCGGCTTGGAAACATTACACAGCCAATCACGAAGCAGATGACTGGTGTGTCCCAAGTAGTGAACCAAAGGACATGACAACATTCCGTAGCACATAGAGGCAGGAAGCCAGGCGTGCTGAGCCAAAGATGGTCCTGTCACCTATGGTCAGCCTACTTAGTACCACTATTACATGTTTAATGGGGAAGGATGCATCTCCATATCCAAACTGGAGTATGAAAACCATATCATTGCCTAGAGTTTTCTGCAGTGTTCATTTCTAAGAAGTGAAGCTTTTCTATCTTTGCATCTTAAAATTACTTTAGCAAATGCACCTTAGATCACTTGAGCACACCTGAACAGTGTGTTCAAATATTGTTCTGCTTAACCACCCAGTCATTCCAGTGAACAATTCATGGGATGTATTATTTTCTTTAGACATCTCCTCTGGGATCAGTTGCACTAATGCAGCCTTTTGCCCTCAAGGACTCCAAAAGTGATTTTCAATGTGAGAGAAAACAATGTGAGCTTATCTCGTTTGTTCATTTTTGTATTAAACATTATGTGGAATCAATTAATTTGTTGCTGTTAGTGTAAACAGCTCTTTGGCTTTATATTTATAGCTATATATTTACAGCTAGACGTAGAATTGCTTGAGCCTCATTCATTTTGTTTTGAAAATTGAACTATTTCAATCTTTTTCACTGAAATAAATATTTCAAAGGACTTTATGCACTTGGCTTGTCCAGGTGCAGTGTTTTCCCAACTAGGGAAAGCAAAGCTGATCTTTTAAGAATGCAGGGTCACCCGAGTCCTTAGAAAGGAATCCGACCCCTGAGTTACTACCAGTTTAAGTAGGCAAAAGATTTTAAACTTAATTTCCTGTGAGATATTAATGGAATTTAAAAGTGTACAACTTGGGCTGAATTTTCCATTTATGTTCAGGGAACTTAGTGGTGTTGATAAAACCCTTCCTAATAGAATGCCACTCATACACAAGTGCTGCCAAATACAGTTGTCCTCTGAGTTTGATCACAATATGTGAGGTAAGAGTTGACATATGATTGCAATGAATTAGTTTCTTTTCACATTTATTCTAATATTCCCATAGAACAGTGAGATATGCTTGTGTTCTAAGAAATTAGAATATTATACGGTGTGATTTATTTATATTCCTTTATGCATATTTTAATGATTCCAGTTATGTTTTCCTTTCTGCAGGGCAGGTTTGACAAATGACCTAGGTTAAAAACAAATTTCATTCCACTGAAATCAGTTGAATACTGATATCACTGCTAATCTTTTACTATTGTAGTAACTTAGAGATATATCTACTCAAAAATAAAATCCCATTGCATGAGTAAAGGATGTAGCTTGAAGCAGAAGACTTAAATACATTACATCATAAGTCCCATTGAATATGATTGGACTTGGTAGGACACAGAGAAGAAGATTGGCTTAACTCCCTCAGCTGATACTTGGGAAAATATCATACGCATCTTGAGTGATATGAAGCCCCACATTACTGCAGATTGGATTTAGGACCCATTTCCCATTTTCAAGTCAAATGATTGCTAGAATATTTTTGTCTGACAGACTGAGTTTCAGAAGACCATATAAGGAGATGATATATAATGAATTTCAGACCAATCAGTATCGAATGGGTTATGTGCAAAATGAAACAACATACTTTGAAATTAAAACAAAACCAGCCCCTTTGCAAAAAAAGCCTGTTACAGCTTTGAATTTCTTTTATCAGGGAGGCTGTTGTTGAGCATTAGTTTGTAGTCATTGTACCACTCTACTTAGAGATAGGAGACAACATTCTGTGTTCCATCAGGAAACTTGAAGGAATAATAAAAAAAATATTATTGGTCAGAAGATGAAATACATCCTCTCTCCCAGCAAAATGAGCCCTGGATTGTAAAACTATTACAGATAGCTAATAAGGATAATTAAAACAATAAAAAAGTGCAAAGCAGTTACAGTCACTAGATAGATATATAAAATAAGCTTTTACCTGCAAGTAGAACCATTTACTCAATACTAAAAATTAGTTAATTTCCTTCTATTACACTTTGTTGTGTTTCAGTATGATTTCAATTCTCAAGCTTTTTATTTTTGAAATGCACCTTTTTATGTCCCTCATTATTATTTTTTTCATACTCCCCAGTTACTCAGGCAGACTGTCCCCAGATGATATGCAGTTATCCTCATCTGCAGTTATGATAGAACATTTCAAATAGGTGGTGCTTTGATAGAACAAAACTTCATATACTGTGAATCTTTTTCCCATAAGAAACAACGGCAGTTCAAATTAGCTTCATTGTTTTGTCCTAGAACCACCAAGAAAGGGTGGTGGCAGTCCATCCTGTGTGCTTCTTACCACAGAGAAAATAGCCATGTTTAAAATGTTTTTTAAAACCTGTAACCAAGAACAAAAGCAATTGTTCAGCATAGCCATAGAACAGCCCAGTGAGGAAGTGCCATCAGTGGACTCAGGTCAGCCATTCATGGAAGAAAGGTAACAAAATGATAGAAACTCCTCCATAACAAGGACTTTTTAAAATTCATCATGCTTACCTCACTTCCTTATGTCCAAAATAAATCTCATTTATCTACTTGACCATAAACCAACCTCCTTTGCACTGGTTCTTTCCTGCTCAAATAGCTCTGGACAATAGCAGAGATGGAGCCTGTGTCCCTTGCTTTATGAACTACTGCCTTCATTATAAGCTCCATGTTTGGGAGAGTGAAAGAAAAGGTAGATCAAAGGTGTCAGAAGACCCAGGACTTGTTTGGAAAACAGGCTTTTTTGTTCCATGTCTAGTAAACTTGACAAAGCTATTTTGGGTGTAAAGCATTTTAAATGTCTCGGTGCGAGTGTTTTTATGAAACATTACATTATGCTTTTAATTTTTTTTTTAAAAAATGAAAATTGCTGATCACTTCTAGGCTGACTGGTGAAATATCTTGGGGGAAAATGTTCTGAGAGTAGCCCTGTTAAAATTCCTTATGAAAAGGTTCAGGCTGTTTTGTGGAAAAAATAGTGTTTCTATTTTGAGGGTTTTTTTTTTTCCCCTGTAGGGCAATTGTTAGAAGAATAATGGAGAGTCTAGAGATAGCAACTAAGGAACATCCCTCTCAATTACAGTGCTTAAGGCCATAATCCTTAACACATTTTTACTTAGGAGAAAGCCTTAAAACATGACAGTGCCAACGTATGTATTGATTTTAGATGATCAAGGAAATAGCAGACTAGAGCTACCTTTGTGGTAGGGAAACTTTATATTTCCTCTTATCAGAAATTAAGCTAAATGTACTAAATCACAGGATTAGATTACCCTTTTGATAACCGGTAGATCAGTGCTGGAGTTTACAAATGAGCTACGGTACATCATAAGCCTACATTATGGAATTAAGCATTGTTGGAAGGAAATAATTTGTTACATGAATCATCAATCAAAAGCTTGATAGATGGATTTGGCCCTTGAAAAATTAATTTTTCAAGCTCGGGTTACCATTTGAACCTCAAGAAAATACAATCTTGGGTAAGGGAACAGAGAAAGACTGGATTAGTATTATCTATCCCTGAACGAATTACAAATGTCAACAGTACTCAAATAAGCCTATGGTCTGATAATCCAATAATGAAATTATCTGCCATGTGCCAGACTGAAAATGATACAAATAGGTTTAACAGACACCACTAGAGTTGCATATAGGCCTTATGATATATGTATATGTTGTCCTTATTGAAATAAGATGGTGTTTTGACAATTCAGATTACCGAAAGTTTATAGAAAATAATTGTTTAGGTTACAAAATGGATTTACTTGCTATTATTTTGACGTTTGATTTCTATTTAATACAGTATTTAAAATAATAAAAATACACCTTTATGGGAATTTCTCACATTGATAGTACTACAAACAAAAATCATTGTCTTTATAGTTGAAAAGTAAAATGGAAAGCAATCACTTTTTGTTTTTAGAATATTAGTCTTGTACTATGAAAAGTTGGATTTGTAAGAAAAATTACACTAATTTTTGTAAGAAATAATAAAGTTTGACTTTTTTTTTTAAAAAAAAGACACAGCGTATTAATGGGTGACAGCTTGTTTCAGATGAATTTTCAATTCATTCTGGCCAGAAGAAATGTTTGTAGTCTGCTTCTCTGAATATATGTGACTATGCACTGAAACATTAACATTTTATAGAGAACAGAAAGAAATCTCAGCCCAAAAGATGTTAAAATAAAATTCAAATCTGATCTCATAGTCTAGGTCCGTGGTGGCGAACCTAGGGCACGGTGCCAGAGGCGGCACTCAGAGCCTTCTGTGTGGGCATGCGCGCCGTCACCCTAGTCCTAAGCCTTCAGCTGGGTTTTATAAAACCTTTTCGCTTTAGGCCTCTGCCATGTGCAAAAAAAAAAAAAAAGGTTCAATCAATTTCAACTTCTCACGGGAAAAAAAAGATCTTGCAAAGTTGGAATTGATTGAACTTTTTAGTCCCACCCAGTCTGCCATTACCACCACAGCCATGCCCACCCAATTGGCCACGCCCACCCAATTGGTCACATCCAGTCAATGGGCCACACCCACCTGGCACTCGACGATGCATAAGTGGGTTTTAGGTTGCAGTTTAGGCACTCAGTCTCTAAAAAGTTCGCCATCACTGGTCTAGGTAGTAGACAATCAGACTCTGAACATTCTGAATGAAATTGTTGTCATTTGAATTTTCTAATTGTCTCTGTTAGCTACCCAGACTGAATGGTTGAGTCAGTGCAGTTAGTCAAAAAGTTGTGTGTGGTATTATATAATTTCAGGAGTTTCCTGTGATTAACTGTGTCATAAGCTGCAAATAAGTCCTTTGACTAGACTTCATTGAAAGCCATCTATATGCTGTACAAGTTTAAGTATCTGACCTGTGCAGGACTTCCCTGACTATAAACCAGCTTTTGGGGAAATAAGAGTTGGTTCAGTAATAGGAACTGTTCTGTTTATTAGAACTCTCTCACAGAGTTTAAAGGGATGGCAGATGAGGGAAATTGGACAAAAGTTCTTTTGATTGTTTGGTTCTTTCCCAGATTTCAAAAATTCAAAAACCTGGGTTTTCCTCCAGGTCATTAGAATACACTTTGAGACTATACAAGCATTAAAAAATGAGAACCACCATTGTTTTATTAAAATTTATATTTTTAAAAAATTTGTTCAACACGAGTATCATCCAATCCCATTTTTCCTATCTTTGTATCTTGAATTGCTGTTTCTAGTTCTTCTCTATGAAAGGCTGAGTGTAATACACTGGCCTCCCCTTCCATTGTCCTTGGAAGTCTGCATTTCTTAAGTCTCCCCTTAACCCTGCCATTTAACAATGGCTGATGAGCTATTTGGTTTGCTATGATGTTCTTACATTGACGTGAATTTGTTGGGATCATTATTCAGATATTTCAAGTCTTCTGACTGTTCTTTGTCAAATCATATGACTCCAGGGTAGCCTTCCATTCCTGCAAGGAGTGCCATTATATTATCGTCAGCTTCAATTGTTTCTTCAGAGAATGGGTTTTGTTGAAGGATAGAAACTATTCTTCTAGAATAGTTATTAAAATGAGGCATAATATGTGGAGAGAGCCCTGGTACAAAGTGAGTTTGCCACCCTCTAAGAATAGATTTTCTGGGCTCAAAATGTAGATTTAACAAAAAGATCATAATTTTCTGTGAAAAAAATGTGAAAAGCTTATGTGAAAAATGAATCATGATTTGGGTTGTTTGAAACAGTATTTTTTCAACAGCTTGCTTATTAGATTACAGCATTGTGCAACTTTCACAAGAGGTAATAACATTCCAAAATTCAGATTTCTCTTTTTTGAACAAAATTTATTCCGTTTTTCAAAAGTGTCATTCTAAGATAGTGTATTTTACAAAAGATTGTGCTGCTGCTCAATGGCAAATCCAATTGTGATTTACACCATTCTGGAGAACAAATAATTATTCATGAAAACAAAGACATGTTTGAAGTCTACAGTGTAAATATATATAATGCAGATACCTCATGTTTAATTTAAATGGAGAGAGAGAGTAATTCTATCTGGAAATTGTAAATCTAGAAGATCACACAGCATGTAAAAATCATCAAAAATATAATTTGGTCCCCAAACATTTAAGTAGGAAAGGGTTACACATTCTGACATTTATCACATGAACTATAAAAACATTGTATACAAAAGTATATAAAAGATAACTTTTGAAGTCATGCTTAACATATTCAAAACATAGAAAAAGTATTTTAGAAAATATTAACGAATTATATTATTACAATGCTTTGAAATTAAAATGAACTCTGAAAAATACAGATTGTAAACACTTCATTACATTAGATTAAATTAATTTTCTATTACTTTTTAAAACTTAATTTCTCTCTATACAATACTATGGGCAACAAACTATCTCCAACAGAATATAATGTCCTAATAGCATCTGTTCACCCGATACCTGTTATACTGTAATTTGTATCACACCTTGTGTTTTAATAAATTGTATATGCCACTTCCAAAGACACTTCAGGGAATTAGCCAGACACATATATACATATTTCTTGAAAAATAGTTAATTTAATATCCATTAGTACAAGTTAATCTAAATATAAAAATTGAAAATATTTTAATGCAACTGTATAAATGGGGAAGGACTATAGAAATCAGAGGTAAACTAAGTTTGTTATTGTAAAACTACCATTTTCTTCCCTCTATAATTGTACAGAAATATACAGTTGTTACATTTTCTCAAGTTGGATTCTTATTCAATAAAGACTGAAGCATTATATTGGTATAGCTCTACTTTAGTTCCACCTATTCTAGAAGATAGTATGGCATCAAATCATGTTAGCAGCTTGATTCCACGGCAGCCACCAATTTGCCAGTTTTCCGCACCTCCTTCTCTTTCTTCTGAAACTTTTCTTTCTGTTTCTCCAGTTTTTCTTGTGTTTTTTTAATATCTTTAATTTTTTTCTTTATTGTTGATCGGTCATTTTGACTGGATACTCCTAAAGCCTTTAAAAGAAAAGTTACGTTGAGCAGAGCAGAATACAGTAAAAAGAGTCTTTTATTGTGGTACTAATTTTCATAAACAAAAAATTAACATTTCAATTTTTAAAATATTTTCCTTGTATCACCTATAGCAGAAATAAACTCCAACTTCTATGGCTTCCTCTACAGAGGTAACTGGCAACATTATCAAAAAGAAATTATCAATACGTGGGCGATATCCAGTTCTTTATCATCACTGTGTTAAACATCTGACTGGTGTTTGGAAACTATCAGGTCTTGGATGAGGAATAACATGATCAGACCTAACCCAAACAGGGTGGAGGAACTATGGATTCAGAAACTCATGACTTGATGAGGCCCCAGGGAGGGAAAACTCACAATCTAGGTGTACTTGACTCAGCTCTTTGTGGAAGGTGGAAGTCATGGCTTTTACCCAGTTTTGATAAAAATGGAATTGTTGTTATTGCTATTATTTTATATTATTATTATTTTGGTTATGGCTTCTTATTGTATATATCACTAACTCCGTTTTAGTCCAATCCCATAAACAAACAAATAGAGCAAACCTATTAACATTGTCACGATGATCTTTGAATCTTTGACATTCTTAGGCTGGATTCAGCTCAACGTGTTTCAGTGTAAATAAAATGCATTGGACTACAGAAAATCTTTTCAGAATCTTTCTTCTAAAAACCATTAGGTTGTCCTATAGAATCTAAAAAACCAAACAACCAGTTCTAAACATGTGTTCACACATTTGTAAATAGCAGCTGCTTTTTATTACCATGTACAGACTGCTGTGAATTCTGAGGGAGCTTTCAAAAAATGTATTGTGGCAGAGGATTTTGAAGGGGAAAAAATGGAATATCATTCAGAGACTATGTAAGTAAACAGATGTACCAAGTGAAGTAGCCAATAGAAAACAAATAGGATTCTAATACCTCCTCAGTCATCAAGATCACTCTTAACAGCAATTTCTGGAATAACTTAACTTCACAGGACAATTGACAAAATTAAAAGAAAACACCTCACCCATATAGACCAGGCTGTATTTCTTAAAAAGGATAGATGAAATCATAGTAATGTTATAAATCGATGTAATATAAATTTTAATCAACAGATGGCAACCTTTGATAAGACTATAAACCCATTTTGGCTTTTTTAAACATTACATCATGCACTTACAATTCCCTTTCTCAACCCAAATAAAAATTTAAAATGAATTTGGACAGATTATAATCCTATACTGCTTAATAGTGAATAATCCTCATTGAATACGATGAGACTTGCTTCTGATAGTTTTGCCTTGGATTGTTTCCTATAGGTTAGGAGGTAAATCCTAAAATGGTTTTACAACATAATCCTGAACAAGCTGTTTCCTGAGAAAACCAACTGTGTCAAATGGGATGTCTTCATTGATGAGCAAGCATATGGGTTTGCCTTCCTATGGAGTATGCAATAATTTAGGGAAATGCAATATTCAATGTATTATTCTGTTCTCACATGGAGAGAGTATGTAGAATCTAGAAGCAACCTCAAATTAATGTTACAAGCCCTACATAGGGAAGGAAGGAATATTACTGCATAATTCTGCAATAAAAAATCCATTTAATACAAGGTACTGTTCTACCCAGGATTTACTAAATACAGTAAAAATTATAATTTATACTAACACCTTAAGTATAATATAGATTTATACAGAAACAAGGGCTCACCTTCAACTTTTCACTGTCGAGCAGCATTAACTGTTGCCCATCAATATTTTTGCTTGTGAATTCTGAGATGTACTGCTCCATGTTCATTCCCATTAGCCAATGGCAGACCTGTTGTGTGGTCCATTCAGAAATGGGCCTGTTGTGCCACTGGTTTTGTTTTCCAGTAGCTGAAGGTTCATCATCTATGGTCTGATTAAGTAAAATCAAATTAATCAGTTTTCCCCAATAAACAATAATTTAATTTTATTGACTTTAAAACTAGAAAACAATTTCCAGTGTTTTAAAATCTTAGAAGGCTTTCACAATGGACTTAACTTGAATATTTTAAA